TCTTCTTGATTGTGAAGACTTAGGAACCTGCTGTCATTCGCTGAAACGGCCGGCGCCCTGGGACTCAGGACTCGGGCGGTAAGAAAGAAAAGAGGGCGCCGAAGAACCGTGAAACAGGGTGACCTACTTCCCAGTTCCCTCAGCCTCTCTCCCCAATGGGCTGATTTGTCCATTTGAGGCCTTGGCAGGCGGTTGGTGTGTAGGTGCGTGTAGGAGTGAGGGTGTGTATGAGGGTGCTCCGTGGCCCATCCCCCTGAACTGATGATCCCAACTCTCCCTAGGAGTCTCTCATTTCAGAGCCTTTCTGAACAGCTTCCCACGATTGCTGGGGTTTGCCAGAAGGAAGTTAACTGGAGGGCATGGGACTATTTTCAGGGGCCCCGCTAGGTAATACTCAGCCAACCAAGCTAAATTTGTTCAGTACTAGGGCCCGAGGGGGTCGCTGCTCAGGGCCTGTGGCAAGAGTCACCAGGCCACTCAATGGGTGATGCTGGGGCAGGCACTCCACCTCTTTCTCACCTTCATAGTCCCCAAGGTAGATCATTTGCTGCTGTTGTTAGGTGGGGAAGAAAGGCCCAACCCAGCGATGCTCAGGGCTTCCTCCTGGCTCTGCACTCAGGGATCACTCCTAGTGGAGCTCACGGAACTGTATGGGATGCCAGGGATCGAACCCAGGCCAGGCGCATGCAAAGCAAGCTCCTTGCCCACTGTACTGTTGCTCTGGCTGCCAAGGAAGATGATGTTAAGCTAAGCCCTCAACAGGTCTTCATAGTGTTTATTTCCCTCATCTCTGCCCACTTAATGGGAGGAATGGAGGTGGTTCGAGTCCAGAGAGTCCTCAGAAAAGTGTCCTCAGACAGAAGTGAGTTCTTAAGCTCTGCTTCGGGTTTTTTGGGGAGGAACACACCAGGCAGTGCCCAGGGCTTACTCGTAGCCCAGTGCTCAGGGTTCACTCCTGGCTGTGCTCAGAGTCACAGGACCATATGCAGTGATGGGGATTTGAACCAGGGTTGGCGGCATGCCAGGAAAGCAGCTCACCGCCTGTCCTCTCCCTCCTGGGGTTTCTTTCAGTTCTCTTTTTTGTTTGTTTTCTAATGGTTTTTGGGTTACACTCTGCGATGCAAAGGGATCCCTCCTGGTGGGGCTCCAGAAACCATACGGGATGCCAGGGATGGGCACAAAGGCCAGCTGCGTGTGGAGCAAGCACCTTACCCACTGTACCATCACTCCGGCCCTGCATGGGGTTTGTAAGCTGCAGAAGGCTGGGTCTGTGTGCTGGGGTGTTCAGTGGCCAGCCTAAGTGACAGTCATGTGAGAGTCCCCTGGGACATCCATCATGTCACCAAGTCTCCATCCGTGCTTTCCTCAAGGACAACATGTGCGGGGGCGGGGGGGGGAGGACTTTGTGCAGAGGCAGGGGTGGGAGGAGGCAGCAAGGAGGGGAGAGGAAAGGATTCCCCAGGAGAATTTCAAAGACAGGCCTTGGTGAGAGCAGCCCCACCATTTAATGGTGCTAACTGGAATAACTTCTTTAAAAAACCTAAATTAATACGTTTTCAAGTGGAATATTGAAAAGCGTTTAACGGGAGGGATGGAGGGTACTGGGTCTGGATGCAGAAGAGACTGAAGCAGTTGAGGCTGGAAGGATGATGCAAAGAGCTTTCATTAACGTTTCCTTCAGTGATGCTATTTGACTCTATTCACTGGGCTCTTTATTCTCCTCTCCTCTTTCCCCACCTCAAATCTGGTCAAATTTCAACCTCCAAATGTTAGAAGGAAACCTGGCCCGCTCCATTCAGAGATGTGCAGCCAATAAGCCAAGCCCATGATAGAGCCCATTCTTTTTTTTTTTTTTTTTGGTTATTGGGCCACACCCATCAATGCTCAGGGGTTACTCTGGGCTCTACATTCAGGAATTACTCCTGGCAGTGCTTGGGGGACCATGATGCCAGGGATCGAACCCGGGTCAGCCATGTGCAGCTATACTATCACTCCAGTGCATCACTCTGGTCTGATAGAGCCCATTCTGCTCCCAGAGCAAAACTACTATAAAATACAAAGGGGCACAGATGGTATCAGAATTTTTTTTTTCATTCTGGGGCCACATACAGGGGTGGCCAGGGTTTACTCCTGGCTCTGCACTCAGGGATCACTCCTGGCAAGCTTGGAGGACCATTTAGATGCTGGGAATCAAATCCAGTTGGCCATGAACAAGGCAAGACCCTTACCTGTTGTACTATCTGTCCCATATTAAGGATTTTTTTTAATGCTCTTACAGGTGGGTCAGAGAGGTAACTTGAGTGTTAGAGCACATGTTCCTCATGCGTGAGGCACTGGGTTTGACTGTTTGGACAGCTCCCCAATATTTTTGGTATGGCTCCCACAATTAAAGCAAGGACATTCCAGGGCTAGAAAGATAGTACAGGGATTGAGGTGCTTACCTTGCACTTGCAAATGACCCTGATTCCATTCTGGCACCACATGGTCCCCCAAACATCTCTGGGTGCAGACCTGAGGCGCCCCAGCACCACTGGGCATGGCCCAATGCCCCCTAATATAAAATAAAATCTTTAAAATCTCCAAATGTTTACTTTTCAAAAACCACAATGTTGGGGGCTGGAAAGATAGTAGAGCATGCAGGGTGCCTGCCTTGTACTGGGGTTCAATCCTTGGCACCCCATATAGTCCCCTGAGCTCTACCTGGAGGGATCCTTGAGCTCAGAACCATGAGTAAGTCCTCAGCAGAGCTGGGTGTGGCCCAAAAACCAAATCAGAACGTTTTATAAGAATTAGATGTCATTCAAGCACATTTTTTTAAAAAAGAAAAAAATTCTACAATTGTAAATAGTTTGGCAGTAAATGCTTTAAAGCTTGAAAGTAATTCTCTTTTACACAGTTTAATAAAACACACAAATATTTGGTGAGAGCCTTCATTATCTTACAGAATGAAAAGCAGGCACAATTGAGTCTAAGAATTAAGCTTACTGGGCCAGACATATAGGACAGAAGGGAAGGCAGTTGAATTGTACTTGGCTAACCCACGTTCAATCCCCAGCATCCTCGCCCCACCAAGAATAATCCCTGAGCACTGAGCCAGGAATAAGATCTGAGCACAGCTGGGTGTGGTCCAAAAAAAAGGGAAAAGAAAATTAAAAAAAATAATAATCATAAGCTTACTTGATTGTGACAAATGGCTTGCTCCTTCATTTTATTTTATTTTTTTCCTTCTTAATTACAAGACAAAAGTAAGTTGTAAGGAAGTTTGGAAAAACCACTGCCTGCAGATACCCAAATGGAAGAGGACATTTTCATTTCTTAATAAGACAAAGAAAGAGGTGTTTTTTTTTTTTAACTTTATTTTTGCAGGCCAAAAAAAAAAATCCAGTTAGTTTTACTTACTGGACATAAGTGCCATCCTGGGAGCACAATAACTGCTGAAAAATGTTTGCAGCTTTTATTATTAGCTATGTGTCACATGTCCTCCTCTTTCAAAAAAGCCTTTCATCCAGGGGCAGGTCCCACTTTGTGCTCTGCTTCAAGCTTTTCCATGCAAATCACTCCATCATTCCAGGAGGCTGAAGTAGGGCCCGAGCTCCCCCAGTGCAGGGGATCTGCTTCCTCAGCAGTAGCGGCTCACAGGAAACTTCTCATTGTGCACCGGCTCAGGAGGGGCGGAAGCATTTAACGCCGCAGCCGGCTGGGCAAGATGCTTCTGGAGCATCTCCCAAAACAGTGAAAGGCACCGGAAAACAGGTTCCTGCCGGGGAGGGACTGAATCCTAATGCTTAAGAAGTCCACTTAAGATTTTGGGCAAACAAGTGAATTTTCTTACATCTTAAAAAATAAAAACTTTTCAGTTTTTTTTTTTTTTTTTAGAAATAAAGCTGCCATAACACGATCAAAACCAAAGAAATAGACTAATAAATTTTAGAATGTCTCATTCTGAATTGAGAGCTGTTCCCTAAAAGCTCTGACAGTGAAATCTGTTCTTAAGCTAGAACAGATCACTGGACCATTGATCACGATCGAGTTTTCAGCTGAAAATAAATTTCCTTCTTACTTGTGCTTCTGGGCCCCCAAAATAAAGAACAGCCACAGGGTGTGGCATTCTTGTACGAAAAGCCTTCGAATGCAAAAGGAAGATGGGCTGTCTCAGGAAGCAAAGCCACTGTCCACCAAGGGTGTTTTTCACCCCTTCTTTCTGTGTAATGCTACCACAGAGCTCCACCCAATTTGACTACTTTCCAGGGGGCAAGGAACTAGGAAAAACCCAAATCAGCCCCAACATATCCACCGATCATCAATGGCTTTCAAAAATTCAAAGGGTCGAGTCATGCATTATGAATGAATGGTAACTGGGAATCGCCACACTAAAATCAGGGTATTCTAACAGACGAACGGGTGGGGGAAGGGTCAGAGCCTGTATTCTTCTGCACCGTGGGGTGTCTAGGAAGAAATCCTGAAAATAAAATATTTCATCCCGATCTTTAAACCCAACACCAAGGGGAGGAGGGGTGGAATACTTCTATTTCACAGCACGGGGAGGGAGGGCTTCTTCTGATTAAAATGAGTCAAAAGACACATTGAAATAGACTAGTAAAAAATTTAAAATCTAGGCAGATCACATTAGTAACTTGAATAGCGTTCACTTTCCGTTCTGGTTAATTTGGTCCCTTTGTTTAGGCAAAGAGTGGGTCCGCCTCTCTCCTCTAGTTAGACAACATGCAGCATCACCACGATTGAAAGAGGGAGAAAAGAAAAGAGGCAGAAAGGAGAGATGTTATCCATCCACCTGGCGTATTAAGCAACCCGAACAGTTAGCACCAGCCCATTTATTTCTGCAGACACACTAATCCACAAGGCAATGAATTAAAACCTTCCCCGACCTGTCGCGGCAGCTCCCCGGCAGTCCCACAAGAACAATGCACATTTCTACTAGGGGGAAAAAAAATCTCAAGTTGGGGAGCACCATGCAAAAGAGACTGGTTCAAATTCCCTACCATGCAGCGCAGCCATCATCAGAAGCCCAGCATTATCTTCCGCTCTAGGCAGTGATGAGCCAGAAGAGAGAAAGAGACAAATGGAGGAAAGGAGGGAGACGCAGCAAAGTCGGCGGCAATGTTTCTGGGTCATTAACAAGTGGGAGACCCCTCTCGGCATTCAAGCCAATCAATCTCTCTTTTCCAGGACAGCTCGCTCTCTCTGTCTTTTTTTTTTTTTTTCCTTTCCCCACTCAGCGGCTGTTGAAAAGACTGCAGCAAACCCAGCAAGGGATTCTGGGATAGGGATGCAGCAGCGAGCTGCGAGCAGATTCGTGGGTGGCTGGTTCTCCCCTCTGAGTCAGCAGTCAGCTGTTCCCCGGCTCGCGTGCTGGGCAGCTCAAAGCCCTGGCCACGATGTGCAGGGACGGTGCATGCTTCCCCCGGGGGCTGACCGCGGCCACGCGGGCTCGGCGAGGGGTGCAAAGCAGCGAGTGCAGCAAAAGGACAGGCGGAGGGTGGGGAACAGATTCTAGGAAGAAAACTAGGCAGACGTCTTCTCACTAGGAAAAGTTCAAATTTAGATTCTTGGGGTGAGCATCAGAGCACAGACTTCCTCTGGGGGCGGGGCGATGGGAGAGGAGATGTCTTTTCTTAGATATTCATTCATTCAAGCAGTCGGGGGTGAGGGGCAGACACACAAATGCAGATTTCTTTAACTGCAAAACAGCCCAGTTCTACAAGCCTCTCTGCCCCTTTGGGACCCACCCAGGAAAGAAAACTGTTCCTGAAAGGCAAAGGGGTTTTCGGTTTTGGGTTGTTTTTTTTTTTAAATGAAAAGGCCTTCAAAGAAAACTCAGGGAGTGTATTTATTGGATTTAGGGCATGCATAGAAATTTCTTTGCCTTTCTAAGGATGCAGTTCTTTCTCAGTTCAAGATGGAGAAACGTGCCGAGTTTTACATTTATGTACAACTTGGTTTCCTCTAAGTCATTAATGCTAGAAGGTTTTAAGAACATTAAAGTGGTTAGCAAGTAACCATACATAAATGATTCTACCATTATATTACAAGTAAAGGTAAAAAGGTAAAGGCCCTCCCGTTGATCGTCGATTTGCTCGAGCGGGCCCAGTAACGTCTCCATTGGAGACTTTGTTGTTACTGTGTCTGGCATATCGAATACTCTCAGTAGCTTGCCGGGCTCTCGGATATTACAAGTAATATCTTAGAATGACATCTTACACCCACGAGCCACAGCAATGAAAGGAGAAACAGACTGCCCTCTAGTCCATGAAAGTGATTCCTTTCAGAAAGAACACAAATTTTTTTTTCCTGTCTTAAAGATAAGGTTTTCTTTTTTTTTGGCTTTTTGGGTCAAACCCAGTGATGCACAGGGGTTACTCCTGGATTTGCATTCAGGAATCACTCCTGGCGGTGCTCAGGGGACCATATGGGATGCTGGGAATCGAACCCGGGTCGGCTACGTGCAAGGCAAACGCTCTACCCACTGTGCTATCACTCCAGCCCCATAAATTTTTTAAAAATTTTTATTAGTGAGACACCATGAGGTACAGTTATAGACTTACAAATTTTTGTGCTTGGGTTTCAATTATACAATGATCAAATACCCATCCATCCCTCCACCAGTGCCCATTTCCCACCACCAAGGATCCCAGTATCCCTCCCACCCCCATCCCCCCCATCCCACCCTGCCTCTGTGGCAGGGCATTCCCTTTTGTTCTCTCTCTCCTATTGGGTGCTGTGGTTTGCAAAAGAGGCAATGGGTGGCAATCATGTTTGGTCTACAGTCTACTTTCAGCATGCTTCTCCCATCCTGGGAGGATCCTCCCAACACCCTTTATTTGGTGCTCCCTTCTCTATCTGAGCTCCTTTTTCCCCTAGCATGAAAAACACAAATTTTTTGGGGGGGAGGTTGTGCCACACTCAGCGGTGTTCAGGGCTTACTCCTGGCTCTGGGCTCAGGGATCACTGTTGGCGGAACTGGGGGGAGGGAACTATACGGGGTGCTGGGAATGGAGTCCACTTAATGCAAGACAAGCACGTCCCCACAACATTACTGCCCACATTTTTGTCCTAATAATAAAAGCATGGATTTGCATATTTGATTACATTGAATATTCATCACATTCTTTCCATGCACTCAGCTCTGCAGAGCAGTGATTTCCCAGGGGAAGAGGGAGAGGAGTGGAGGGGAGGGTATAGCGTATCCGGGGAAATCAATAGACCCTAGAAAAGCCCAGACAAGGCAATTGGGCATGACTCATCTGAGGACACCTGGAAAACCACTGAGATGAAGAATTTCAGGCCCAGAGCACGGCTGCTCCACCCCAAAACAAAGGCCACACTCAACGCTGAGAAGGTCAAAGATGATCACCTATAGCGCCAACGGACTGGGTGGGGGTGGGGGTGACATTCTGGGAAAACTATGTATAAACCAACTTGGCAGTGGGGGAAAAGCCAGCATTTGCACGCATGTGCTCACTATCTGCTCCCCATTCCCCCTCCCTCCTGGTTCCACCCAGGGCATAACAAATGGAAGCCAGGTGAGGTCTGAGGACCATCTGGTGAGACGTGAGGTCTGTACCTTGCAGGGGTTCATCTCAGAATCTCATCAGTCCTAGTTTCCCTAGGCAGTTTCTGAGGTGACCCAGAGAGAAGGCAGCAGGGACGTTCTTCTCCAGACTGCCATTTGGGAACCTGACATCTGTCTCAGGTCCCACCTCTCCCAATTGCAATACCGAGGTATCCGAAGAATGGACCAACTCTCAGCCCAAGTGAAGGTCGAGTTTAGACTGGGAGGTGGTGCCGGTGTAGGTCACTGCAACCCAGAGAGGTAACTGCTTTCCCTTGGAAGGGAATAAGATGATGTGGGAACCCACAGGAAGAACAGTCATGCAGGGAGAAACGGGGTGCATTCTAGCCAGGGGGGCAGAGCTGGCCCGAAAGCTGGGAGGCAAGAAACAGCTCCTAGGATTTAATTCAATTCAATGTGACTGACGTGGTGATGATGAGGAGAGGGGCGGTTAGAAAAACAGGGATTATATTTGTTCCTAATCTTTTTTTTCTTTTTTTTTTTTCTTTTTTTTGCATTTTGGGTCACATCCGGCGATGCACAGGGGTTACTCTGGCTCTGCACTCAGGAATTACTCCTGGCGGTTCTCAGGGGACCATATAGGATGCTGGGAATCGAACCCAGGTCAGCTGCATATAAGGCAAATGCCCTACCTGCTGTGCTATCGCTCCTGTCCCCTAATCCTGATCTTTTACCCAGAATTTGAAATGCCTCCTCTTTGGTTTTTGCGCCACACCAGAGGATGCTCAAGAGTCACTCCCAGCAGTGCTCAGGGGTCCAGGGGAACATGCAATGTCAGGGATTGAACCCTGGGTTCCTGCCCACCAAGTATGTGCTCAGTCCCCTGCGCCTTCTCTCAGGCCTGGAATGCCTCTTTGGAATCAATATTACACAAGAGAGCTGGATTCGAAATGCCTCCATTAATATGGTCCAAGGTACAAACCTACAGTCATCGAGGACGGGAAAGTTCAGCCTTGTTTTCAACACATCTGGGCAAATGAACACAAGAGTTTATAAACGATGCGTTACCCATATGTAGGTATGTCAATGGGTACTGCATCCTCCCCCTGGTGGCCCTGGGCAGGTGACTGTCCTACCTCGTGGCATAACCACGCAGTTCCTTTCTGCGATGGAGTTTGCTTGAATTGAGGCCATAAGAGACCAGCTGGAGGGGGCTGGAGCAATAGCACAGCTTAGAGGGCATTTGCCTTGCACGCGGCCGACCCGGGTTCAATTCCCAGCATCCCATATGGTCCCCTGAGCACCGCCAGGGGTAATTCCTGAGCGCAGAGCCAGGAGTAGCCCCTATGCATCGCCAGGTGTGACCCAAAAAGGAAAAAAATAGAGACCAGCTGGAGTGGCCACAAGAGCAGGCCACTACCAGCTCCAGACGCCGCTCCTCTGCCTGAACAGGCAATAGGGTTAGAACTACCATCAGTCGGTTTGCTCAGCATATACCTGGGAGGAGCATATAGGCAGTATTAGAACAGGGTACTAGTGGCCCCCAAGTTAGGTTTATTTATTTATTGGACTTCCCAACCAGTACTGAGGCAGCCAGGGACCTCTCCCGGAAGTTCTCAGCCAACCAGCCCAGCAGTCCAGTGAGTCCGAGGCAGGTCCTCAGGGCACCCCAGCTGGGCTCAGGGCAACATGAACTCCCAGGGATCAAACCTGGGAGGTCACACATCAGGCACGTACCTAATCTCATACACTATCTCGCCAGTCCCTGGGTTTATTGTCAACTCAGTTTGGGCTGGGTGGGATCCTGCTAGACAAAGATTAGAAATTTACTGCCCAGGCTCAATCCAGAGGCCATTAGAGCAGTAATTTTCTTCCTCCCCCCACCTTTTGTTCTTTGGGTCACACCTGGCAGAGCTCAGGGGACCCTATGCAATGCGAAGGACTGAATCAGGGTCGGCCACGTGCAAGGCAAGCACCCTACCCCTCTACTATCTCTGACCTTGATGAGTGGTTTTCAATCTTTGGTCGTTGGGGCCCTGTCCTGGGACTGACAGTTAATAACCACTGTGGTAGGTAGATCACTGTTCTTAACCTTTCTGCGCCCGCCAACTCCCACTCTCGGTGGGCTGGCAGGGAAAACCACTGCTCTAAAATCAGCCTGCACCTGATCCCGGAACCTTCTTCTAGAAAGCAAGCTCCTTAGAATGGGTCACAGATCATTTTCTTCTGGGGGAGGACAGAGGGGCCTCTCAGGCATTGCTTATGGGTCCCAGGACTGTCTCCAGCAATTCCTGGCCCAATTGTGAGCCATTGGTTCATCACAAGGGCACCAGGAAGTGATGCTGCTTCTTGGACCCTGCTGAACTGGCCACCGATTTCCCCCTATACTTTATATAAACACTGTGGGTTACAACGTTGCTTGTGATCATCATTGGTTACAAACATTCAACATTCCAATACCAATCCCACTACAAAGTCATGTTTTAATCTTGTTTCTGCCTTTCTCATTTTAGTGCACCTCCTTTCTCCCTTCTCTCTCTCTCCCCCTCTCCCTCTCTCTCTCTCTCTCTTTTTTTTTCCTTTTTGGGTCACACCTGGTGATGCTCAGGGGACCATATGGGATGCTGGGAATTGAACCCGGGTCAGCCGCATGCAAGGCAAACGCCCTACCTGCTGTG